TTTATCATTATGATATATTAAAATATATCTCTTTTGCATTTGTTGTCTAATTTCATTAAGTGTTAAACATTTCCAATATACCAGTGCCTATAAGTCTCAATGAGACAGAGGTTCCATGGTACTAAGTGCTGTACAAACCTAGATAATAGTCCCTGCTGTGGTCATTTTACAATCTAACACTCTCTGACTCAGCTTTAACCAGCTTCCTGCTTAAGTTTTTACATCCAGCCAAGTAGGTTAAAATAGTTTTTGTTAAGATACATTTTTGGATTCTTCAATATTTATCACTTACTTTTTGAGCCTTTGAGATTATGCACAAGTCACATTTTGAAGCTCTTCACAATTTTTAAATTTTTCCAGAGCTGAGGCTTTAAGAAATTAAACCACTGTTACAATAGTCAAAAATTAAAACACAACCATGTATGTTCAAGAAACTTGTCTGCTTGGTACATACCACATACTCCCACTGACAACAGGATTCTTCTCGCAAACACATTTCCTCTTTCCTTGGGATGAGCATTCATTTCTTGGTAACTCCAAAGATCACCGATGACTTGATCCCTAGATCAGCTCTGTTCCTCCAGCTTGGATGAAGTTTTCCATTACTAGGAATACAGAGATGGGGAGTATCATGGCCATAAGGATTCTGTTGGGGCTAAAAGAAAAGTGTTAACTGGACATTTCCTCAAAAATTTGCTTGTTAGACCTGACCTGTTCTTGCTCTTAACAGATTCCCTCCTGTAATGGATCCTACCTAAAAAAGTACACTTTCCCTCATGCCACCAGTCAATGATCTTGCTCACGCCAAAAAATTAAGGAGTTCAACCTATTTCCTTATAATGAATTGATTGATTGCCTTTGTTGAATCTCAGATTTAAGGGTTTCTTCTGGGGAAAAAAAATCACACCAGATATGTCTCTCCTGCTACTTCACAGAGACTGTGGTTCTCCATTAAATGATGGCATTATGGCCTACACAGCTGGAGATAAAAGTTTACATTCATGATACATCTGGAGTGGTCATTAAAAGATCTAGAGAAATCCATCTATAAACCACTCTATAAAGGTTTTATGTAACAGTTTTATCTAACCAAGATGGAATTGAACACCACATTGCAATCTGAAAAATCTTATAATGCTTTCCAAAGCCTGGATTTATGAACAGAGAGATAAAATGGATTGCCATATTGTCTGGCTGATAAGAAAAGAGAAGAACTCTAGATTTGCTGGTGATACATTAAAGGTAGATGTGGTTAAGGGGTTTTTCCCCCAAATGAAGTTTGTAAAGCAGGATATTGTGATGCCTGAGATAAATGTGACCTTATAACTTTTGCTGGAATTTTTATGTCAGGGGTGAATTTGGTCTTTTTGCTACCAAAAGGTTTGGAAGAATTGTTTTATAAGTATTGGAGACCAAAGGGTGATTGAGAAATAAGCATTGTGGAGAAATGTCATTTCTACTTCTGAGTTTTCACACAGGGAAAACCCAAATTCTGATTTTTCATTTGACTAAAGAACTGTTTTTTGTCTATTTGTGATACACAGGAAATAAGTAGAAACTCATTTCATAGGTAATTTAGTAGTCTCTTAGATCAGCTTTAATGTCACATGCGGTTTCACTTATCCTAATATAGATACAGAGGTCTAGCTAGAAACTTGGATATCTGGACCCCTTATTTTATTTACACCCAATGGGAGGGATGACTTTTCTCCTGACATGAAAAACCAATGCCTATCTTCCATGTGAGAGGATATTCTGCTGCCAGCTGCATCCCACTTATGGAATAAAAAATATTCTGAATATAAGCACTGTGAGCAAGTGTTACTCAGGGTAGGAGAGGCTTCAGAGTAAGGTCCTTAGGTTTGCTGTTATTTAGGGCTTGATTGTAATGCCCTTATTCATAAGGAGTAGCACTTCACTCCATAAGCAGTTTGGTAGGCCTAACTATAAGATAAGGTGTTAGTAAAAACAATTAAGGGCATCAAAATTTGGTTCTTAGCAAACTGTTATTTAACCAATGTTCTAACAGGACTACATAGGGAAAATTCAGACTAATAGAACTAAGAATCTAGCAGCACAAATTTAGAAGACAATAAGTGATCTAAATAGCTATTGGATGGGATTTTCAAATGAGCCTAAGGGAATTAGGTGCCAATCCTTGGTTCCTCTGAAAATCCTAGCCCTTGATTACTTTCTTGGGTTGAAAAAGGAACTGAAGCAGCTGGATGTGAGCCGCTGTGAAATGACACTGATATATTTAGCCACATCAATCCCCATAAGTCTGTATGTACATTGGTTGCTCAGGCAGTCAAAGGGATTATGCCTACTTGCACTGAAGCAACTGGAATTTGCCATTAATTTCAATTCAAACAAGATTGAACCTATATTGTCCTTATATTTTCCTGTTGCCAATTCATATAATATCCCCTAATAAAAGTAACTTAAAACAATCAAAATATACCTTCTACAATACTATGTACAGATAAAACTTCAGTATCATAGTATCACACCTGAATTTGCCACTCACCAAAAAAGTAATTAACATTGGAAGGTATCCTTTTTGTCAATAAAGTTCAAGCTAAACAAGATATTCAGCAAAAGACTGCCCCTAAAATAAGACCCTTCATTTTCATGGTAGTGCATAGAAAGCAAGTGTAACGGAGTAACTTTCACTGATAGTTACAGCCTTACATCTCTTGTCAGGATTTGCCAAATAGCCAGTTATTTAAAAGATATTTAAAAGAAAAATTGCCACATCAATACTGGCACTAAAATCAGAGATACATTAGTTTTATTTCCAGTTCATTCTCCTCTCTGCTCCTTTTCCTGAGATAAGCAAAATCATTTTTTTCTAAAAGCAGGAGAAATCCAGCAGGACCTAGATCCTGTTGCCCACTTCTGTTACTACTGAATAATGTATAAGAAATGGTAAACAATATGAGCTAAGAACCTGTCTCATATTGCCTTTATATCCTTGGTGGATGGAAAGTTATAGTTGGAGGGCAGCTGGTGATGCCCTGATGTAGAAAAAATTCCCATGTGATGCGAAGCTGCTGTAGCACTCCTGCTTCCTTCACTCCTGGGCAGAGATGAGCTGAGATACAAGGCAGGGAGCTCAGGCAATCGTCAAACAGCAGAACAATTGCTAGGGGAACACTCCACATGGAATTATTTAGAACAAGCTTTAGGCAGCTAAAAATTATAAAGGGGAGCATTTATCCTCCAGCTAACTCCAGAATTGAGAAAATGTAAAGCTAAATTCCCTCCCCCAATCTCTGAGAGTTGGCTGGACCCTGGTCTGAAAGAGGTTGTTTTTAATGTGACAATAATGTTTAAAGGGATGCTTATGCACCATCTTTACTCAAAGAGAAAAAGGGACCAGGAACAAGTTAGGAGAGGCTATCTGTAGGCTGTATTAATCACTAATGATTGCAGGGAATATTTCTATGAGTATTCACTCTAGCTTTCATGCAGGTGTTATAACAAATGTATACTCATCAGATGTAAACATCTGCAAAACTGCTTCAGACCCCTTCTTGAAACTCTTATTTAGCACCATAAAGCCTACCAAGAATGCCTCAGTTGTAGATATGCTGAGTTTACATCCCATCATGCCGACAAGTGTTCTCATTATTTCCTTGTACTCCCACCTCAGTCTGTCTGCATCTTTTGTGACTGTCTTATATGTAGATTGTCAGCTCTCTGAGGGAAAGGGGGGCAGGAACTGTCTTTTTAATGTGTGTTTGTATAGGATCTAGCTCCCTGGCATCCTGATCCTTGAGTGCGACTCCAAGGCACAATGGTAACAAAACAGTAAAAAATAAAAAAACCCGCTATGTACAGGCACCATGCAGAGGATTCCTTTAGCTTATCAGCCTTTTTTTGCTATTTAAGTAGACTAACTGGTACATTTTAAAAGGGTAGGCACCTAAACAAAAGAAATGTGTTTTGAGAAAAGTGAATAAGTATTTAGAACAGATTTATCAGTAGTATCATACAGAAGGCACTCACACAAAAATGCCACCCTTATCATGTAATAAACATGTGGGGCACAGAAGCAAGTCTGTGCTTATGAGACTAGGGACTGGGAATGGACTAATGTATTCATTTATGTAGCCAGTTAAAACAATAATGTTCATAAACCATAGTCAAAAGGAGGACAAAACAGTTGTACTCTGAAAACTGATTATATACAAATAGCATCGTGGGACCTAATGTCTATCTCAACCTATTTCCATAACTCATTTCCTGGATTTAAAAATAAATGAATAATTCTCAAATCTTCTGATACTCTAGATGGCTACTGTCTCAGCCAGTGGCTGGAAAACAGAGAAATGGCATTACCAGAACCAAGAGATAAGGAAATAATTTTTATTACACTACAAAGAACCAAAAGTTCATCAAAGTAAGATGAGTTTAAAGATCACTATGTGATCCAACTTTTAAAATACTTAAAAAGTAGCATGTCAATAACTACAATAAGTTTTAACCCAGGACACCAAAATCTCCTTAGATAGATTTGTGAGCTAGATAGAGTCATGGAGGTTAGGTCAATCAATGGCTATTAGCCAGGATGGCTAGGAATGGTGTCCCTAGACTCTGTTTGTCTGGAAATGGGTAATAGGAGAGGGATCATGTGAGGATTACCTGTTGTGTTCCCTTTCTCTGGTATTGGCCACTGTTGGCAGACAGGATACTGGGCTAGATGGACCTTTGGTCTGACCTAGTATGACTTCTTTTGTTCCCTTGTGTTCTAGGTAAGTGAGAAACTTCAAAAAGAGTTTGTCAGCTTTAATCTTGCTTGTGTAAACTATTAATTTTGAAAGACTTCTAGCTGTATACAAGGTCTCTAGGAATCACTTTTGCTAGTATCACTCTGACACTAGGCAGCACATCGTGAAATTATAGTGAGGCACTCTATTTCTGTTGGGTAAATTTGCATATTGATTGGGAGACACGGATGAAGTCAGTGGAAGAGATAGACCTTTCAACTACATATTTGCTTTCATATAATTTTATTTAATTATTATATTATATTATATTATATATATTTTAAATCAAAATCTTTACAAATACAAATGCTGGTATATATTATCAAAATTAAACAAAATATAGAAATTAGAGAGAACTGAAACAAATTATATATAATAACATTGCTAAAGTTGAATATTAAAAATCTGCTCTTGTCATAGGATTAACTAGGAAATGCTAGGGGTCACCAAATGAAATTAATAGACAACAGGTTTAAAACAAACAAAAGGAAGGGTTTCCCCCCCCACACACAGCACACCGTCAACCTGTGGAACTCCCCCCCACACACAGCACACCATCAACCTGTGGAACTCCTTGCCAGAGAATGCTGTGGAGACCAGGACATTAATAGGGTTCCAAAAAGAACTAGATAAATTCATGTAGGTAGGTCCATCAAAACTTATTAGCCAGAATGGGTAGGAATGAAAGGGTAGGAATAACCTCTGTCTGTCAGGGGCTGGAAATGGATGACAGGAGAAGGATCACTTGATGCTTACTTATTTTTGTTCACTCCCTCTGGAGCATGTAGCAGAATACAGGATACTAAGCTAAATGGACCTGTGGTTTGACCCAGTAGGACCATTATGTTCTTAACTGTAGATAGTGTGCAAGTGACAGAGAATTGCTCTCAATGTTTCAGTACTACAAAAGTGCTCACAAGAATGAAGAAATTTGTTTTTAATTTCAATTCCACTCAGGGAAGATTCATATACATTTCACAGTATTTATACAAACCTAATCTATATTTCATTCAGATATATAGAACTGTATTTGCAATATCAAAACAATAAAATAGAATAGAAACTACCAATATGCAAAAGCTGCAGACACATTTTATACATATTCGATTTTTGCAATGTATTTTAGAAAAAGGGCACAAAGCACTATGAAACTTTTCTCTGTAAGCACATTTTAGTCCAACTGTAGACTCTACTGCCACACTCCTGCTCGTTGGCCCTTGTCCCCGGTGTGTTCAAAAAACATGAAATCCTAAGCATCAAAGAAAAATAACATAGAATTAGATAGCTTAAGACACCATAGTTACGGTCTTCTAAATAAAAGTAGCCAAACAAACAGCTGCTTTTTAGTTTATGATTTTAAAAGTGACATTTTATGATTTTTTTTGTTCTAAGAATGGGAAAAATTATCTGTTTACACCTGAAAGGGTACTTTTTTAGGTAATGCCCACATATCTGTTACTTTTCATAAGTATTACAAAGAATGACTCGGTTGCAGATGTGCTGAGATCACATCCTATCATGCTGAGAAGCATTTTCTCATGATTTCTTTGTCCTCCCCACTTCAGCCTGTTTGCACTGATAATGCCTTGTCTTATATGTAGAATAAATAGTGGTGACAATCAGATCAGGCATTCATTAGCAACAGGGATGAATGCCCTGCGTCTTGAGTTCCTTCCGTTTGTTTCAGACTTCCTACAGAGCTGGTAGCATGGGAAGGAGTGTAGGCCTGAAGTCCCTTTACCACACTCCAACATCAGCAGCATCTACGCAATGTCCAAAGCCCTGCATCAGTGTTCCCAGGAGAGGTGGAGGGGGAGCAAGTGACTGAACTACACTGATGGGGATGTGGCTGCTGGTGTAAATTCTTGAGATTTAAGCATCATCTTTCTTATTTGTGCTGGGTCTGCTGATCTGTCCAACCTGATACACTGGATTCTAATGTGGAAGGGAGAAGCAGCTGCAACTCTAAAGTACTGCTCTCGATATGCACAGGCGTCAGGTTTTTTGTATCTTCATCAGTTTTTTTAAACTTCTCTCTTTTTACTCTGGAGGATAGAAGCAAGGAGTCTGCAGCCAGACAGACCAGCTGAGATTAGTGCCTGTATTATGTCCAGTATCACTAGGTTCCCTAGTCCTTGCAGGGTCCTCTGCTGTGCAGGGAAGTTGAACTGTTACCCCACATATACTGGGCTTAGATCATAAATGTGACTAAACTTCCCAAAGAGAGAAATGATTAAGGAGGCACTAGGAGAAAAGAAAATGTTCATTAAAGCAAAAGTGTGACTTTTTTTTTTTCTTTAAGTTTCTTAAAGGTGGCCTACTTTTTACTCTGGAGCCTGCAGAGGCATCAAAAACAAACAAACAAAAAAGACCAAAAAAACCAGAGCAGTCCAAGGACACTGTCTGAAATTCAAGAAAAATGATGGAAATGGAATTGTTAAGCAGAAATTTGAAATAAAATGTTGGCGTTTTCTCCTGGAAGGAAACCTAGTTGATTTTGCCAGACACTGAGAAGGTAGAGAACAAGAGGAACTATAGAGAACAAGACATTCTCTTCCTGAATTACAGCTGTGATTCTGCCTCCAAGCTAAAGTGCCCACAATGAAGACAAACAGGATGGGCAAAAGGTATTCACAGCCCTCAGCGAATGACTCAAAATTTGCATATTAGAATGTTGTAATTGCTGAGAGCTGTTAGAGAGTTGGCATCATTGACCCCTGCCTCTGGAGTGGTTCTGTTGATGTTGCTCTTGACTGTTATACTGATAAGTATATTGAGGGTATCTGTGTCTCAGTTATGGCTGATACCTGAATTGTCATGTTCTTGTATCTGCAGGATTGTGAATGCCAAGAGATCGCAGCGTTGCTCTAGAATCCTTCATGGAATGCAGTAGTTCATTAGTGTTGGCTGTGAATAATTTCTGCCTGCTGAATGGAAGATCATCTATGGAAGATTGGATCTCTCGGGGGAAAGCTGCAGAACTGAACCATGAGGCCCTCCCCATGACTACGGCTGTTGAAGTAGACCAAGTAGCTGTGTTGGTAGCATCTAAGGCAGCTTGGACTGCTGCCCTGGATATTATGTGACTCTTAGTAATGACAGCGTTAAATTGTTGCTTTTTTGCCTCAGGGATATCTGCAATAAAATCATTTAATTATGAATAATTTCTATGGTCATATTTACAGAGTAACGCCACTCGATATTGTCAGGTAGAGGACCTGTAAACTTTTCAACTGAAGAGATCCAACCTTTTACTGTCATAATCAGCTGGGGTAGATCTAAAGTACTGCTGCTTGCTCCTCTGATCGGCTGCTTCTACCAGAGTTAGGTGCAGACCCTTTTGGAGGAACATAATATTTTTTGACAGCTTGTTTGCATGTTGAAGTGGCCACTGCGACGACTGCTCAATGGTCTTTGTTGGTTCCATCATGGCTTTGTTTTCCGTAATGGAAAGCTATTTTAGAAGTCGTATGAGCTAATAAAATATCAGTCAGTTCATGTTAGTTGTCTGATAACTGTTTTAAAAGATCTTGAAAATTTGAGAAATCATCTGCTGTAGTGGGAAGAAGCAGTTGGTACCATGACTTCATCTAGGTATGACAATTTGTTAGTATCAGGTGAGGTATTCAGAGAGAGGTCAGATTGCTCCCCTTGTATTGCACGTAGTCTTTGGGGAGATGGGAATTGTGGTGGAGGGGACAACTGAGGTACAGTTGGTTTTTTGTGAGATCGATGGTGTTTCTGGCAAGGGTACCAAGGGCTCTAATACTGTCATTGTGGATAAGGCATGGTTGGTGGCATCCATGGGCTGTTGTACCAGGATAGCATATTTCGGTGTCTGGAGTGTGGGAGATGAGTCCTGGCTGAATACACAGAATAGTCAGTAGGAGGGGAGTTGTTAGGAGAGAACAAGAGTCACTAGAAAACTTTTCCAGTGCTATATCTGGTCTTGGTGCTGGAGGACCAGGAGAATGTTGTGCCCAAAATGGGTGAATTGAAAGATGAAGAAACCAGGAGACCTCTGTGTTGTGTGTACTGTTGCGCAGGTGTTGTCGGAGCCATAGTCGGCTGCACCGACGCCACTTGAGTGCTGTACGATGTCTCGGCACTAAGTGGGCAGGCAGTGTAGTTGGTGCTGTGGTAGTGCCTATAATGGTGTTGGAAGTTGTTCTCGGCACTGGGGCAGGTTGCAGTGTTGGCAAAGTAATGCTGGTCCCGGCAAGGTAACATCAGTGCTGGCAGGTGCTGTGACAGAGGCAGGCGACTTGAAACTTGTGGGCAGGATTTGATATGACCGGCTTTTGTGGTGGTGCCAGCAGTGCCGGATAAGCTCTTGGCATCGAAGAGAAACGTTTAGGAGCCGGAGCCTCCTAAGGTAAGGAGGAAGCACATTTCTTTGAGGAATTTTTCTCCTTTTGCACTTGGGATTTCTTGGGTTGCTGACCCAGGTCTGAAGCTGGTCTTAACGACTTCTCAAGCAGAATAAGCTTAAAGTGAAGATTTCTCTGGCCTTCAGTTTAGCACAGTGAAGACATTTCTGTGCAACATGCGCCTCTCCAAGACATCGGACACATAGAGTGTGTGCGTCTGAGATGGGAATAGGATCCTTACATGTGGAACAGCACTTAAAGCTGGACAGCTGGGCATAGCACATACTAGCACTATTTAACTAAGGGGAAAAGAACTTGAAGGAATATTTTTTTTAATTTGAACAAAACTGTTAAAGGGAAAACTAACTAACTACAGGTAAGAACTATATAGCTGGGATCACTCATCTAAAATGCGAGCTGAAGCTGGGGACACTACCAAAGTCCGTCTGTGACTGGAGGCGGTAGAGAAGGAACTAGGGGGAGGACTTGCGCATGAGCGATCCTGCACAGTAGGGGCGAGTGACAAGAGGCGTGCGCATGTGTGGCCCCAGAGTCACTGCTGTGAAGACTCCAGAGAATGGGCTTGGCAGCGGCGCACTGACCTGATGTGGAGCACCCACGGGGACATCTCTTGAAGAAGAATGGTGTGTTAAATATTGCTACTACAGAGGAAGGGGACTGTTGACATTTCCATCCCTGAGCTGATGTATATGCCTCTCTCCTTCCTTCTAGTTTTCTTCCCATTTTCAGAAAACTCAAGTTTGATAGTAAACATCCAGCAGAAACCAGAACATGCCATGGTGACAGTAGTTTTCAATGGAATGGACAAAGGGTCCTGCTCTTTATATGGTATATGTCAGCTCTGAATAATGGAACAGCTCTGAAGCAGCCTCAAAGTAGCCATAAAATAATAACTGGAGGTATGTCCTTATGGCATAGAAAAAGTGTGAAACCTTACAAGAACAGGCATATCAGCAATACATAAGTATATTCCTATATAATTTTATGCTTTTATATATTCTAATTCTAAATGTAATCCCATGATCTGAAATAATTCGTCACGCTTCCTAGACACTTGATTCTACACTCTCCAAGTCAATGGAAGCTCTATTGTTAACTTCAATAAATCCAGGATCAAGTCATATCCTAATATGATTTTAACTTACAGATGAATAGAACATATATTCACTGTTTAAAGTTAGTTAATTGGTAGACTTACAATAAGGAAGCAAGCACCAATCATGACAGCTTTCATCTTAACATCAAGATCCAGTGGAAATTGGATTCCAAAATTATCAGCATCTGTAAATGCCTCTTTTACAAATCCAGTCCATTGCTTAGAAATTCTTCCAACTACAGAACTTTCATCCATCGATTTTACCTAGTTTGAAAAACAAACAAAAACATGTTACCACTCATAATAAAAAGATGTTGTGTGTTCATTTTAAATGTTAATTGAAAAACTTCAGGATATTCACATTTATATTGGTTGTTAGATATACTGAAGCATATGGCTATTGAATAATTGTGGTAATGTTGACTCTACTTCATTAAATTATGGGCTGAAATCCGCGGCATGTTTTGTGCTCATATCAATGCTGGTTATACATGGAAACAAAGTAATGGAGAGGTTTGCAGGGCTACACTGTTAGAAGTTCTGTAAATCAAGGTTCCTTCACCCAGGGGCAGGTATCTAAATAGAAGTTAAAAGATTACATGATCATTTTCCAAAGTAGGGCATAAGCTATATTCAACATTGTCTTTTGAAAACTGGTTTCAGTGTTCAAAGTTATGTAAAATAAAACATAATGGCAAATAAGTTTGCTTAGAACAAACTTGCAAACCCTTGCTTAGGATAAACTATCAATTGTTTTTGAATGAACTAGTAGCTGGAATATGAAAACAGGATTCATTAAAGCATAGTTTGATCCACAGTACAAAATTAAATAATTTATAACAAAAATACATCACCCCCTTCTGCTGATCCATTTTGATGATTTACATCAATTACTTGATAATAAAGTCAGTGGCTCTAGAAAGTTACTTATTTAATAATACTTAAGTATACATTACTAAGGGAAAATTATATAGTGAATCAATTTTTTCTACCATTTCCTAAAATAAGATAATGTAATGATATTTTCTACTGGTGTTTCAATAAACATTAAACAAATGTCAACACCCCAACAGTGAAACAACTGTAATAAATTCAAAGTAATTTCAAACTGGTAAAGAAAGCTTCACTTTAATGGAAAGAGAAACTGACAGAATATTATCCATACATTCAATATCTCATGATTTGATAATCTGAAAGTTGATTCGTTATGACAATCATTGAAACCTGGGTTATCTATAAGGATAAGTGTTTTGAAAATTTTTCATGCACACAGTTGGACTATCAAAACATGTAATGCATTCAGTAATAACATTTCAACTTAGTTTTGTGGGAAATGGTCCATTAGTAACAATAAGACCAGCTACAAATATTAAACTACAGTATTAGGAAAACCAACTAATTAAGAACAGACAAGAGCAATACAAATTCTTTAAACAATGTTGCCTACCTCAAAATTAACATCCTGACAACAGCTGCATACAACACATGGACCAATGATTTTAAATATATCCATTTTTGCTTCGTTTTGAACAGTAAATTTAGGTAGACAAGGGTGCCAGTTTTGTTTTATGTAGCCAACTGGTGTACCTGGAGGGGCCTGAACTTCAAGCTTTAAAAGAAAAAAAAACACAACAAAACATAAGTAGGATAAAAGTTACGTGTCTACCTAATTATTCCAATGTGTTTTACATGCTTGTAAAATAATCTTCAGCACAGAGAAAGTCTGTAATGTAAGAGATGGGTACTTACCCTACAGAAACTGTAGCACCTTAAGATGTCCAAACAAATTCTATTCTTGGTGTTCATATACCCCTACGCTAACAAAATCTAATTATTTTGAATAGCTGCATCCACAGATGCAGATATGATTTTGCCAACTTGGAGTCTAACACTGTTCCTATACATTTTGGCTACGTCTAGACTGGCCCCAAATTCCGGAAAAGGGATGCAAAGCAGGTAAGTCAGCATAGGGAAATCCGCGGGGGATTTAAATATCCCCCGCGGATTTAAATAAACATGTCCGCCGCTTTCAAGTAGGAATAAGAGATCCTCCGGAAAAGGGCTTTATTCCGGAGGATCGCGCCAGTCTAGACGCTTTTTTTCCGGCTTTTCCCCAAGCCGGAAAAAAAGCGGCGGACAACCTGCTTTGCATCCCTTTTCCGGAATTTGGGGCCAGTCTAGACATAGCCTTTATGTTCCACCTCAGTCAGAGTTGATTTGTTGTGATTCATGAGGCACAGCAAGGTAAAATGGTTTGAGGTGTTCTAACTAGAACCTTTGGAGAAGATTGTGGAGAAGAGTCTCATATCAGCCAAGCACAGATATAATAGGACTTCTTATTTCCTTATGTATGTTGTCACCACTACAGTGAGGACTCAGTAAAACACTGTGGCTATGAAAGGATGAAAGGGTAGAATCCTGTACTGATAAAATGACGTTATTATTCTGTACTGATAATATTGTAAACCCCATTAATATTCTGTATGCTGAGAGTACTGAAATGTGAAGGCAAGCATCTTGCAGGTCAAGAGTCATGAACCAGTCCATGGGATCCAATATGGGGACAATGAAAGCTAGGTTTACCATCCTAAACTTCTTTAGTATCAAGCAGGAATAGAAATAGAAACCCTGCTCTGAATTTTTGAAGAACCTCTTTTATCACTCCCAATTATAGCAGGAAATCAAATTCTTGTAGAACTATGCTGTAAGAAAGGTACCTGAAGAGGTGTGGGGAGGGAATTATAAGAGCCTAAAACGGCATAGGATACCCTTACTTATAGTCTCAAGGACCCATCGGTCAGAGATGATCCTAGCCCAAGCTTGTTTAAATGAATAAAGGTGGTTGGTCAACCAAAAATGGATGGTGCCGCTGGTGGTCCAACTGGGTTCTTGACTGCCCTGCCAAAGCTGCTTCCTTCACACTTGTCCCTGCTGTGGGGCCAGCCAGAGTGAGGTTGATAAGCACCACTGGTAGAACTATAAACCTTTCCTTGGTGGTTTTGATGGACACAATGGGAACTGTTGCTGGGATCTGCAGAATGAGGACTGAGGGCTCTGCAGAATGAGGACCGAGGGCTCTGTTACTAATGCCGTAGTTTACCCTGCTTTGGGGTAGGGATGTTAGATAGAGAGTAACTGAATAATCATGTAATCACATCAGATTGTAGCAGTTTTACAACTACAATAGTCCCCAGAGGTAGGGCCAGCAGCCAGTGTGCTCCAGCCTCACTAACAGGGAGCCCCCTGCCATGTCACGCTGCTGCCTCTGTATCAGCAGCTCTCCACACAGATCAGCTCTGCCTACTGCCTTGCAATGCTGCCTCTGGTAGAAGCAGCAGTGCCGGGGTGCAGAGAGGGGAGTGGAGGGGGTGGGTAAGAGAGGGGAGCCAGTGCTCGGGGGAAGTCAGCTTTCAAACATGATATTTGAGTAACAACTGAGATTCATACTAACTTGGTGGTATGTGTCTAATTCATTGGGATTAGAAAGAACCTCATACAGTAAACTTCTGATAATTCGGCACCTTTAGGACCCAGGGGGTGCCGGATTATCAGATATGCCGGACTATCAGAGGGGGGGGGGC